GATGGGTGCAACAATTCTTAACAAAGAAATATGTTTGTGATAAAATTTTGGAAAATGGGCGTGGCACCGCCCACTTATGATCACATATATGTGTCTCGGTAACCGTTCTACCAATTTATACCAAACTCGGTACGGTTATTGTGCTTGCCACACAAAAGCAAACCGTTGATATTGTTGAAATCGGACTAAAATTACTGCCGTTTTTCATATAACCGGTAAATTTCAGAAATGCTTGAAATTTCAATATTTCGAAATTTAAGGACGCTAATTTACTTAAAATTTATACACCCCGGCTTATCATGTAGCGGCAGCTTTCGGAAAGGTGGAAAACATATATTTAATACTTGCGCCGGGTATTTAATGTTCGGCTCCGCCCGAACATGACGCTACGTCACGTGACGTTTCACACTTGGGGTTGTAAAAGAAAATTGAAACAAGTTGCATTAATTCAAAAAACTCTAGAAACAGCTAGAATTGCTCCAAATCATACTAAAAGAGGTTTCGTGAAAATAGCCATCCACAATTCGCAGAGTTTTGCGATTTTGTAAGAAAATAAAAAATCTAGTTCCATTTTTTGTCACGTAACGACACTCTCTTTAAATGCTTATATTTCAGGACCAAGCAGTTCGATTGTTTTAATTTTTCGGTTAAATATAGAGCTAATTATGTGCTATACAATGGCCCAAAAAAGTTAAAGAAAACAAGTGGTATTCCTTGTTTGTAACACATTGAAACGTACGACTGTCACGTACGCGACATATTGAAATACCCATATGTTATGGTATGTTATGTTATGCTAAGTACTAAGCCAAACTCCCCTCCACTTAACCCATTCCAACTAATGTTATTTCAGCACAACTCAACTCACATAAACTATCCTTAATTTTAGCGGTTGAATTTCAACCGCTGGGCGAACACTAGTTATATTAAATAAACAAAAGGAAAACAATAAATACTAAGGATTGAAAAGTGTGCAATTCAAATGACGAGGAGTGTATATGAGCAGATGTGATCACTACCACAAGTAAACGCGAGCTGAAAGTGCGATTGCGTTAGTGTGCCAATTACCCCAGTAGAAATCGGTTGTATGCATTCATGAAGAATGCTTTCTATATGAGTGAATTAGTTTGAACAATTCATGCGTAGTCATGAATTTCCACGAATAAATTCAAATTCTAGCGAATTGCAAGCGATTTCTTGATAAATTTGAAGTGGAATTTTTGTAATATTTTCAGTCTTGTACAAAAATCTTAGTGAACGGACGTGCTGTGCGATACTATTTTCAGCACAAACAGGCTTTTACAAGATATGCATTTGCATATGTAAGTGCTAATTTCTTGTATGTCCCCGTATATTAAAATGTATCAGAGAAGAATCATTTACATATGGGGATACATATCTTGTAAGAATGCTTTAATACAGTTCCATTAATGCATTTTTGTATGTTTAAAACATTAACACAGCCATATGCATACAACAGTAGTACAAGTGTATGGTTAGAGTACGCATTCGCTCTGAGAAACCACGCGTGTTAAATGGAAATGAAGGTACATGTATACTGGCATGTATACACAGCAGCAAGCTCATGCCATCAACAGCAATGTCTTATGCATAAAAAGAAAAGTAATGTCGTTGTAAGTAGACGTGTTTTTGTGGCGCTGCTTTAAATTACGCTTTTCAAAGTAATTACCGGCTTTTTAAATCGATAAATCTTTGCAAACTTTCTGTAAAAACACTCGCTGCGGCAGCTGATCGTTATTTGCATTATTTGTATTCGATTTGTTTTATTTTAACATTTGTGAGACAATACAAATTTATTCAGTACGCAAATATGTCACAACAAAGAAAAGCGCCCGCAATGTCTCCTCTCCACAACAAACTCCAGTACAACAAGTAAGAAAGTCTAAGTTCGAGCGGAGCCGAACATTAAATACCCGGCGCAGGTACCGCTACATGGTAAGCCGGTGTGTATCAATTTTGAGTAAATTAGCGTCCTTAATTTCGAAATATTGAAGTTTCAAGCATTTCTGAAATTTGCCGTTATATGAAAAGTGGTCGTAATTTTAATCTGATTCCAATAATTTTCAAAGTTTTGCTTCTATGTGGCAAGCACAATAATCGTACCGAGTTTGGTACAAATTGGTAGAACGGTTACCGAGATACATATATGTGATCATAAGTGGGCGGTGCCACGCCCATTTTCCAAAATTGTATCATAAACGTATTTCTTGGTAAAGAATTGTTGCAAGCATCAATTTTGAGTAAATTAGCCCTAATATTTACAGATTTATCGAAGATTTCGTATTTCTCCAAATTGCCGTTATATGGGAGGTAGGCGTGGTTATTGTCCGGTTTTAAAAATTTTCGGCCATTTGGTATGACTGACAACTGTGCCAAGTTTGGAAGAAATTGGTGCAGCGGTTACCAAGATATACACATGTATCCATAAGTGGGCGTGGCTACGCCCATTTTCCAAAAATGTATAATATTCTTATTTTTCGTCTAAGAATTATTGTAAATATCAATTTTGAGTGAATAATCTTCAGTAGTTACTAAAATATCGCAGTTTTCGTATTTCGGAAAATTACCGTTATATGGGAGGTAGGCGTGGTTATTGTCCGATTTTGCCCATTTTCAATACCATCCGTCCTACGCCCGAAAGAAGTGCACGTACCAAGTTTCGTTAGGATATCTCAATTTTTACTCGAGTTATCGTGTGCACAGACGGACGGACGGACGGACGGACAGACAGACACCGCTTAATCGATTTCTCTTTTCATTCTGATCATTTATGTATACATTTGTCTATATCTATCTCGATTCGTTTTGCCTGTTACAAACAACCGTTATGTGAACAAAGTTATAATACCCTTGTGCACAAGTGCGCTCGGGTATAAAAACAATCCAAAGGAGCAAGCAGCCCAACAACGGTTCGTTTGTTGGCGAGAATGGAAATAAATTGGAAACATTTATGGAGAGCATTATCCATAAATTGAACGAGAGTGAAGAGCGCGTAATGCAAAAAATTGGTGAAGTCTCCGCTGAGCTAAGTAACCTCAATTCAGCAATTAAAACTGTTGATGAAAGAGTGTGTGCGCTGGAGAAACTGCGCGACGAAAATGGGGAACAAAATAAAAACGTTCTCACATTATGTCAGCAAGTCGATGAACTGGGGAATGCGTTGGTGTCAGCTGATGTAATTGTATATGGTGTCATGGGCGTAGCCAGAACGAAATTTAGAGGGGCGGGGCCATACAAAAAAAAAATCAAAACCAATAACTTACTTACTAAAAAACTGTTTATTACAGTTTAAAATTATTGTAACCAATAGAGGTAAATATGTTGTAACTAACTGTTGTAACTGTATAAAACTATTCGTCGATTTAAATTGTTAACTTTTTACTGAGCATGTTTATTTTACGAGAAGGAAGCATCGAAAGTCTAACTCCGTCAGTGTGAGACTTTAACCCAAACTAAACTTCCTACCGTCATGTACCGTTCCATTCCCGGTACCACCGTCAAGGATTTCGTGGGGATTATAACACTGTGTGACTGATAAGGTTATAGATCTATTCTCTTCTTCTTCTTCTTATTT